TTATGACGTCATATAAAATAAATATACTTAACATATATGTGCTCATCCACATATATTATTCAGTAATGCGTTTATTCAAATTTTCATTTTTAGATTTTTTATAAAAAAGGTACCTATATGCCTAYATTATAATATATACAAAAAAACGAATCAAAAAACACACAAAAATGCCCTATAAACTTTAAAAAATTACCTTTTCCATACAGTTTATAAATATAATACTCGATAAGCGTAACGTTTGCTAAGCGTGTATGTTAGGCGTATGTTTGAAAGAGCACTTGTTTTATTTATATAAATAAAACATTTATTTGGTACTTATTTTATTATTTCCAGGGGTTATAAATAAAATTTCATTAAATACGAATTATGCATAAATCCAAATTTTGACTTACTCTAACTTGGTCAGTTTTGAAAATAGAAAAAAACTGTTGATACAAAAAATGCTCAAAAAAATAATAATCTATCCGAATATGTAGAAAAAAAAATAGTGTTTCTATTTAAAAAAAATGTAATTTATATTGCGCATGCGCACACCAAAAGTGTTAATAATTTGAAATGTATCCAAAAATATGTATTTAGTACTCCCCATCACCTCCCGAAAACGCCAGTTCAATACAAGGTCATGCACCTGAGATATTTAGTGTTACCATAAATCGTTGTCACACTGTATAACACCCAAAGTCTCAAACAGTTAATCCAAATCCAAAGTTATATTTTAAAATTTTAAATAAATTAAATTTGTTTTCAAACTTGGTTTTAACACTTGCTATAATTTAAAATTTGAGAAAAATGTCCCACATTGTATAAAAACTACAAAAAATGACTTAAAAGATGAAAAAATTACTTAAAAATATTGAAAAACGACGTTAAAAAAAAAAATGAATATTCTGCATCAAGAGAGTATGAAACAAATTTTTAGCTAGGATAGCATTGTATAGAATCAAAGGAAAAAAAATTCAAAAGTTGTCAACATCCTATCTCTACTAATATAAGTAGTTTCTAAATATTATTAAGCGCTTTGAAAGCTAAGAATARAAGTCCATATTAGGTTAATGATATTGAACATTTTAGTAAGTAATTATTAGTTAGTAATTAGTATCAAAAATCAATAGGTGGATTGGAATATTTAGAATTTTATCTTTTGTAAAAATTATAAGAGTCTTAATAGCATAATAAGTACAGCAGTGAGCAGTTTACATCTATAAACGAATAWTGGATGAAATATTGTATTTTTATATGAAACAAATACTAAGGATTAGTATCCTTATAATTGAATTTCAGTAAGTTATAGTAAGTAACAGTGGCGTAATTAGAAATTTTGTTTGGTAAGGGGACTATATGTTTTTAGTAAAACCTGTAAGCATCCCACCAAATATAAAATGTTAGCAGTAAAATAAAAGTTTTGGGGAGATCTATCCCCTCATCCCCCATTAATTACACCACTGGTATAAGTACATTAGATAGGTATGAGCATTAAATGGTAAAAGGAAAATGAGCGTTCTTGGTGATGAATCAGTTTGTATAGTGACAGAAATACTTGCCTCGCTGTCAGCTCCGAAAAACGGAAATGGGCCGCCACAAGCTCCGATGATGGTCAAAGGATCGGACCCTGTAATCTGTTTTAAATCTTTGACATTATACAATTTTTCTCGCTTGAACGAAGGTACAAAATTGGTGACATCGCCGATGTCAAATACGTTTTCGTCACCACATAGTCCTATATGCATTAATAAAATATAWACCAACAAAATATACCAAATGGCGAATTTATACATATTATAGGTATATCTTATATAAGTGAGTAAATATTTTAAGCTCACCTTCGGAGGTCAAGTTAAACGGTGGTTGGGTTAAATCTGGACATTGAACTACTTCTGCACTTACATTTTCAAAGTTTTCTAATAACTCAGGTAATATGGCTGAAATCAACATAGAAATTTCATTGTTATAATAACAATATATTCTTTAAGCAGGTGTACATAGGTTTATTCATAAATTAAAAAAAAAACTCGATGTATAACTAATTATGCATTAGTAGTTAGTACAACAGTAGATTAAATTAA